TGAATTTACGGCGTCGTAACACGTTAGTGTTTGAAAATGAAAGAACAAGCGTGATGTACCCCTTTGTTTGCTTAATTTGATAAACGGGAAGATTCGCTTAAGAAGAAGAGGAAACAGATAAACGAATTCATGTGTGCTAAGTTGAAAAGTTGTTACAGTTTACAACGAACGGAAATTCTCTTTCAACACATATTAGGCCGATTACAGTATTCTAGTCCAGTTTAAATCGTACAAAAATCCAACTTCCAAATTATTACACACAACATTCGAAATTATAATACACATAGTATAATGGTACGAAATCGTGTGTCTGTTGTAGAATCTCTAAAAAACGCGGTTATCTACCTGAATAGATGTCTACCCACTAAATCCTCCTACCTAGATACCTACTACTATCTCGAAGACGAGCATCAAGATAGATCTTCAAGTCCTGTAACGTGGAACATGTCATGTCATAAGATTCAAAGAAAGAAGGGACCGGCTAGGCAAGTAAAGAAGCCCTGTAAGAGATGTGACGAGAATAACATTACGGTATTTAAAAATAATAAGCCCGTCGAAGTGACGACGTTCTGTAACGACTGCACTGGCAAGCCCCACTTTTGTCTGCGTTGCTTCAACATAGTGCATCAGATCGCGTCCGACTAAAGTTCCTTTGATAATGTCTTTAAACGGACAATATCCTCTAATTCGCTCCTATATCATTAGGATGACACTCTTTGCCCTGACACAATTAAATAGATTTTTATTTTTAGATATTATTTTTACGAAAATGTACTTGTTATATATACAACAAGCGTGAATATCTTAATTTTTCTTGATGATATGATTACTATGGCAGCGAACATGTTAATATCGAAAGTTAAGATATCTCGTCGTACAATAGATTTTCATCGGTTATGCGCTAAGAGAAGATTTATTTTAGACTGATAAAAAAAATGTCTACCGTTGAAATGTATGCAAGGGATTCCAACCAATTGTCCCCCTCCGATTTTAATAAGGATAAAATATATAGACAAAAATAAGACCTTTTTTTATAAGTGCTCAATTTTTATCATTATATGTAAAATACTATCTTGAAATTTTTATTTAAAAAAAATTCTTTTCTATTTTTTATAGTTTAAATCAGTACTATTCAGGATTTGTATTTTTTGGACTTGAAATTGAAATATGTCGGTTTTCGTGCCTATTGCCATTGCTAATCCTCACTCGATAGCTATTTTCTTGTAGGCAATAGTATTTTGTACGGAAAACAAATTATTGGCAGACTAGATTACAGAATACATAATTAATGGTATTAAACAGTAATATTAATTATATAATTAATCATATATTCTGTTTTGCGTAATTATAATAAATATATATGTAGATACCAAAATTATATATGAACTTAGATCATACGTGTAATAAACATATAACTTTTATACATATGTTACGGCCTTCGATCTTGTTCCCGCGTGCTGTTTTTAGTTTATTATACATGTAAATTTACATGTATTTTTTGTACATTATATATTTGTATATTATTCTTAATATATATAATTATGTAAAAATAATACATAATTATAAAAAATACGAGCACTTATAAAAAAAATTCACGCGTATGTCTTCTTTCTATCTATATTTTAACATATCCAAAGCTTAAGTGAATGCTGGAATTCCGTCACGTTTGTTTTACCGACGATTTGTGCACATGTATGTGTGCGATATTGATGTAGTAGTGCGTAGATGTTTACATCTGATGTATTAATGTTCACTACTACATCAATGTCACACGCATACATATAATGATATTTTCGGATCTTCCGTTCTTTTATTTATACTAAAGCACTTAGGCTCATCAATAAAACAGTATTATTCTTTTATGTAATCTCGAGTGCGACTACTATTTATTGCATATGTACAAAACTTTCGTCTAAAACTTTTATATGCAACACATGTTGTCGCGAGTCGACTGCAGAAGCCGATATTTTTCTAATTCTTTGTCGTTTTTTGTATCCAAATGTAGTAGTCGCACTCCGTTATTGTAAATACTTTAATTTTGGAAAAGAATTTGTAATTCTTTGAAATCAATAAAAAAGATTAGAAGATCCGAAAATAATCGCGTTCAATCGATAAGACAAACCTGTGTTCAGCATCGTCTTAATTAAAATCAGAAGGGGACACTTACAAGTTGTGTTCCTTTGTCAGTGAGATACTCTTTATAAAAAAGAAAAACATAAATCGAAAATTAGTACAGGCCAAGATTAAAAAAAAATACACATATAGTACAGTAAGTATTGAAACAAATAGATATTTTAGCAGAGACACAATTCATTATTTAAATATACACTGCTTATTTTTTTGTCTGAATGTTAAAATTCTAATAGCAAGAGAGAGTGATTATACAAGTGTAATTTATTATTTATAAACGAATACGTCTAAAATGATTTTATTATTTATATTTCAACACAAACGCTTAAAAAATCTTGCCAAATTAGTTTTATATCTACGAAATAATTTTTCGTTACTTTTGAAACATTCTTTACGAACAAATTGATTCATGAAGTGACGTGCCATGAAATATAGAAGTATATTGAGAGTATTTAAGGTGTATAATAATGCATTATTCTTTTATTAGGGAAGCATTTAAAGCTGCATATAACACTGCAAGAGTATCAAATAAAAAATGTTTTGTTTTTCGTCATTATCGATTTTCATAAACCCTATCAATTTTTTATTCGTACTCTGTCATTGCACATTTAACTTTAAACATGATTGCTTTTAGAATTTCATTTGTCTCTTTCGTTAACGTTAATAATATATATCATATAATTAATACATGTTTAATTTTAAATGTCTAATGAAAAAGTAGACCGTGTTTAATACAGTGTCATAAACAAAAGTATCTTTATGACTCAAAGGTGTGAACCACACATCGGATATTTTACGTTAGAATTGCTTGGAGTGAATACATGTTATGTATATATGCTCGCCGGAGTGTTGCTATGTCAAATATTATCTCACATCTGTAATAATCTTATCGTCGCGCGTTTCGAAGTTTTTTTTGTACGTTTAGTAGCAATATTTACATATTTAATAAATTGTGTACACTACTTTGCGTATTGCCGGAAGTGCGACCACTTTCGATTGGTACTCGATGCCATCGAATAATGCTATGAGTTTCTAATAAAAAAGATTGTAAAAAAGAAATTGTATCTTTTGGATCAACCACGAGCACGGACTAATCCGCGCGATCTAATGCGTCAGTGGACAATTGGGGATAATAGCGCGCAGCGAGCGACGAATTGGAAATAAAATAAATTAACGATAAGAATCCCGGTTGTTTATAAAATAACGCCGATTCTTAGTCGTTAGAATCTCAAGGCACACTCTTAGGAGAAGAGTTTGTTTCTTTATTGATGTACAGGAGATATAGAACTTCGCATGTCTCGGTATCCGCAAGCTTTTTGACATTTCGGCACTCCCAAAGAATTCTCCTTTTCGTTTCTGGCTGGAGGCTTCATTGAATATGCTTATGGGGACTGTACCTACTCACATTGGTTACGAGCTCTTAACACAGAATCCCGAATCAGTTGTATCAATGTACGGTACACATACTCGACACAGAATGCGTTGGCGAGTACGATGAAGGGCCGACCCAATCAATTGAAATTAATACAATAATAATTAGAAGTAGAAGTTGCACATTAATGATTTCCTATTATTAGAAATTAGTGTTTAGTAAAAAAAAACACACACACATACACACACACACGTACACACTTGTAATATTACAAATTATTAATTACAGTCAGTGGATCTTTATTGAAATATTTGTATTTTTAGAAAGATCAACATTGAGTGAACATTTATAATTAAATTTTTAAAACATAATAGATTTAATTAATTCCAAATTTTGTTATACTTAAAGATCCTTTTTGTAATATCGATTTTTTCCAGTTTACTTTGACACTGTAGCTGTATTCTATAATCTATTTTGTGATAAATGAAGTGTATTTTTTTATATGTCATATGATCTTTTAAATTTTCACGATGGGTCGTCCTTTCTCATGTTTTCGAAACGTGCCCCTGACGGCCTGAGACCAAACTTTCACTCATCCGCACTAAAAATGAAGCACACGATTTAGTGCGATGCAACGTAATTAACAATTAATTATCTAAATTTTACGTTCAGATTTAGCCGTGCATTAATATCTTATAAGCACACATCCCATAATTCAACATAAGTGCTTTATACATATGAATGGTCTTTAGAATTTTTATTTTTTATTTAGGGAGGGGGGAATTTGGGAATTTGCAATCTTTTAGTCCTTTATATATTTAGAAAACATTTTCGGAGGACTTAAGATTGCTCTTTTAAGTTTTTTGGTGTTCTAGTTATCGGTATTCTTGTCGTATAGGATAATTTTGTATGAATATTATAATTTAATAACATATGACAATTTTATAAAAATTTATTATATTCCTATTTTATCGTATAGGATAATTTAATATGAATATTATTATTCATATAACTTAAGAATATACGATTTTATAAAAAATTTTGATAAATTTTTTTACATTCTACACGTTATCATATCATTGCAATGATTTTCCTTATTTTTTTTAAATGCCATATAAAACTTTATCATTAATTTATCACCTTTGTCATTTTTTTTCTAAATTTTAATTTACATTGTTGAGCCTTTTCTTGCTCTCAGTCTTTAATATTCTAATATTTTGAATCACGCATATTAGTGTTTCGATTATAAGAGAAACTCTTATCTATCGATACCGATGTGTGCTTATCGGGATTGTCTCATTGTCGTATCTCCGAGAAAAAAAAAAAAAAAACAACAAAGTCGACACACCGAAACAACTGAAACCGCGAAGTGACGAGGCACAAAAAAAAAGACAAGAAAAGACCAGAGAAAAGTGTCTCTTCGCGCACGACGAAATTATTACAATAAAAAAGTATGAGACCGTGTGTGTATGGGAAACACTTTGGATTGTGTGCGCAGAATCAGAGCACAATTACGGGAAGCATCAACCGCTACCACCACTACAACAACAACAACAACAACAACAACTACCACCTGCGCCACCGCAGCAAATGAGCCTCGTTCTCGACGGGGCCAGGCGCAGATCTAAGCTGCACTACGTGGTGGAAAGCGGTCGTTGGGTGTGCGACGTCTGCGGCCGAACCTACAATCGTGGCGATTCCCTAGCCCACCACCGCAGTATACACAGGGGCGACACGATCTGCCCGATCTGTCAGACCGTCTTCACGCGAAAGTACACCATGCGCTGCCACATGGTGAACGTGCACGGGGTCAAGTAATGACGTGCGAAATGCGGCCGCGGATGTGCGCGGGGACGGGGACACGATAGAGAAACTCGAGGGACGAAGCGCGGTCTTCGTAACAGAATTGGGCAGGACACTTTGGGGTTCGTCTAATTTTTAACGTCACATTCGCGAAAAGTTATAGGGCATCCATAAAGAAAAAGGATTTACGTCTCTGGAAGACGATAAACCATGTAAGAACGTACTTATATCGTGCGCGGATGTACGATCGACGTCAGTAGACGTACCATATGTTCGACTTTGACGAAACGTGACTAGTCTCTCGCGGGTATGATAGTCGATTACGTCGGTTTGGACGGGTCAGAGATTTGAGATTTTCGGATAATTGAAAAGATCTTGAGGCTTTCGGAAAAACCCGCGACTTTTAGACTCTTGCTTGCGAAAGGTTCTGGGAATTTAAGATCCAGCGAACGAAGTTAACTTTATTATGCATACATATTTGTTTATAGCAGTAGCTTTGAAATATCTTGATATGCGTCACTAATTAAGTCTTTTGAGTTTTTATCTATTTTATAAAAATTCCTTAAAATTCATTGCATAGCGTAAAGTTATCTGTAATCCAAACTAATATTGCGCCGAGCAATCAAATGGATTTCGATTAAAATATTGAAATTGTATATATATATATATACCTATATATAATTTTATGTCTATATGTATATATATGTATACATATATATAATATATTATATGTATGTATATGTATGTTCTATATTTTATATATATTTATATAATTTATTTATATGTATATATATAAATATACATTAAAATTATATGTAAATCGTATTATACATACTGAAAAAAATAAATGCCGGATAACATTCAACGCGTTAAGTCCATATCGTAATGGCAGAATTACAATAAAAGAAATTAAAATCTCAATTATTATTTAACTATTATTTAATTAAAATTACTTAAATATATCAGAAGATTACTTTCTTCTATAAATCGATTGTACGCAAATCATCTTCTACGTGAGGTTTTCGTTGGTTAATCTTTTTTAATGCGGACGCATTTTTCAAACCGACAAATGCGTCCGCATACAATTATTCATTCCATAGATAAGAATTCTGATAAGGATATGATCGACGGCTATTGTCTTGTATGTTTCGTATGTAATTAATTAATCGCTTTAATTGATATATTCTAAAAAAATTAATTTTTTTTAAATTACTTTTATTATCACGCACAGAATTTTATTTTCTTCATTATTAAAGATACAAGAATATCTTCATCTTGTTTCTTTAAGGATGTTTAGTACCTACAATAGTAGCAAAAAGTTAAAGGACTGATTTTGACAAATATGCTCTTCTCATATAGTTTGAGTAATAAGGATTGTGCAGAATGTTATCATTTATTCAGAACTAGAGCGCAGAAATGCTTATGTTGCTTTTTTCCTGAGAATTTTCGAATTCTGTGGCCAAATCTAACCTAAAAATTCAAATTAAAATCCTTATAACTTTGGATTGCTTCAGTGAATCGACTCCGGCTTTTGTCTTAAGTCTTTCAACATATATAAGAACAATCTGTAAAATTTTTGTTAAATTCTCATTATTTTAAAAATTCTATAGAATATAAAAATTTTATACCTATAGAATTTTTAAAATAATGGGAATTTAACAATAATTTTACAGATTGTTCTTATATATGTTGAAAGACTTAAGACAAAAGCCGAAGTCGATTCACTGAAGCAATCCAAAGTTAAGGATTTTAATTTGAATTTTTTGGTTAGATTTGACCATAGAATTCGAAAATTCTCAGGAAAAAAGCAACAGAAGCATTTCTGTGCTCTAGTTCTGAATAAATGATAACATTCTGCACAATCCTTATTACTCAAACTATATGAGAAAAGCATATTTGTCAAAATCAGTCCTTTAACTTTTTGCTACTATTGTACGTATTAAACATCCTTAATAATGGACATGAAATTGGTATGAAGATCGGTCGCTTTTTGCAAAAATGTCTCCATATTCTTCCGTGACACGCGAGAAGAATTCGAGATATATATGCGTATGTACATATGCATGTATCATAAGTATAAAGAAAAAGTATAAGGAAAAGGATAAAACCTATCTTCCTACGGCGAAAGAATGTTTGCGAGTACTCAAGTACTTAAGTATCACAAGAACGTTATACTCTATGCAACTAGACTGATCGTTATTAAGTGTTTATCGAGCGATCTCGATTAAACTGCACAAAGGGGGTTACCGTGTTACTACACCACTACTTGGCGAAATCAGAGCATCGCGAGTGAACGTAAATGTCAGCAGCGATCTTGTCCGAAGCTCCGTAAAACGCGCACAGTTTATCTAGGGCGGCAGCTTCCTCCAAGCGGCACGAAATCCATCCGTCGTCCTTCCCTTGAACGTGTAAAATCGCGTGTACATTTACGAGACGATTATATCGTGTCGAACATCATCACACACGTACATATATAGAGCTGTCATTTATGTGGATGTCGCACTTTCATTTCAGCGCGAAACTTAGACGGTCGTCGATCGCAATCGGATCGATCGATCTCATCGTTGTGTATATCTATAATTGATGTTTATCGGTAAGAAATTGTGAAGACGTCGATATACAGAATAGACTCTCGGTGTACAGAATCGAATTGCGATGATGACACGACAACACTTTTTTTCTCAAATTGTACGCAGTAAATGTTACGCAGCGTATTAAACCTGAGGATCCGCTTACCGAGGGAACCGTTTTTCGCTATTCATTTCGTCAGTTTTCGTTACTTTTTATTGTTTTACATCGTAACAATATAATTTGCAGAGATCGAGTGAGATATTTTGATTGTTCTAGTGAAAATTGACGCCGGATGAATACGTCTCTTTTAATTAATTTTTCTTTTAATAACATAAAGAAATTTCGGGATCCTCAAAGCAGATAGGTAACTTCTAAGCCGGAATTTTATTATTTAATTTTATTGCTTTCCATTAAAATTTTTATTTTATTTAAGTTTTTCGTTTTTTCTAAGAGAATAATTTACTGCGTCTTTAAAACGGAGTTTCACTATAAGTTTAATTGTGATAATTTCCGCTGTAACCGACATGACGTATTATGTGTAATATATGATATAGTAGAATATACAAAAAAGCATCGCGCGCCGGGTTATACATTTTTTTGTACTTCGCATTCTGAAAAATAAAGCCATTATATCGAAACCGTACTGGCGTCCTTTGGGCTGCGGAGTTATTTTTTCACCGCATGGAACGATTTTCAGGATTATTTATCGAAAATTTTCGATGAACAACACGAATGCAATGAGATTTCGGTATAACGAATGGAAATTACGTAATTTTATTATGCGATAGAATTTTATTTATGTAGTATAACACTTTAATTTAGATTAAGGATTTAATTTAATTTGAGCATGCGGATGTATGATATTTTTGATAATTACGAGTCACGACGGTTCATTAAATAGCAGGAGAAAAGTTTCAATAAAAGGATTTCTCATTCCAGAGAACAGAGATTATGACATTCTCAACACAACAATTAAATTTGTCACAACGAAATTGTGCAGCATTTCTAGCGTTAAAATGTCTCTCATCATAGAACGTACTGAAGATACTTTCACGAGTAATTTCTTCTCATGTCAGAGAAATTTGACGAACGTGAATGAGACTCCCCTTAGACACGCGAATGTCGTTAATTCACGAATTGTCGACTCCTCGCGCGCATGACACCGCCGCTTCTCCATGTGCCGTGCCGAAGCGCGGCACACACGACCACGTTCGATTATAATAGCGATCACAAAAGGAATACATGATTGTCGGTTCACTATACACATAACATGCGATTGGCAGTATATCTCGTGTCTGACGTACCTTTTTGAGCCTGAATATAATCGGCCCTCAATCACTCACGAAACTTGGTCCCCGAACCAATATGTTGTGCATGAATATTGAACATTTTATACGTGTTATTCGTTCTTGTACCCGTTTTCTTTTCGCTGTTGTTCATATTTTATTGCCGTTGTACATCCATATAGTTTCACAGTAGCATGACCGCTCCGAGAGTATTACAATTACTGCCATTCTGTGTGTGTCGCCATTCTCGTGAACATCACTGTGTCTCTCTCTTTCTCCTTCTTTCTCTTCCTCCTGTTTGTAAGTCTCGCCACAGTATAACCAGTAGGTACACTCTGCGAAAAACCGAGTCGCCGCGCAACTTTTGTTTTGGGTTAAATCCAATGAAATGCAAGGTGATAGAAACGTACATATACATATGTGTAGACGATTTAAGCAATTACATCAGACATTTTTTTTAGTGATCACTTCTACGAATAATTGTTACTATAATAATAAAACGTTTTATTCGATTCACACATTAAATTTTATTGATTTATTGTATCGAATCCATATTATTACTTATCTGTTTTATTACTTGTGAGGCACTTTTCTCAATTCGGTCCTGGATTTAACATAGTGGATGCTCACGTGATCCAGAAAAGGAGATCAAAGGTGCCGACGCGAAGTATATCTACTGGTTATACTGTGGTCTCACCGTGTGCGTTGCCTTTTTTCTTTTCTTTTCTTTTTTTTTTGTTGTTGCTATACTGCTGTTGTTCTCAGATCCGAGTGAACGAGTGGAAAAGTAGGTAGAGAAACGAGAGTGAGATACGGAATTCTTCCGAGTGTACGAGTAGCTTGCTACTGATATGCGATTTTTCTCTCGATGTGTTCCTTCTGTTCTCTTCTTAACGTCGAAGGCACCTTTGTACTCGCAGCGTCGTGTGCCGTGATCCACGACGAGGCATTTGTCCTAATTTTTTTATTATACATAAAAACAATTTTATTTTATTTGATAGGTTTACAGCAAAGGAAAAGGATTTTAATTTAATAAAGTATCGTAGTATTTTTTTCTATATTTATTCGATTTTAATTGAAAATGCATATTTGCACAAAAATAATATTTATTTAATATTATATATTTATTAATAACTTAACATTTTATATTTATTTAATCTTTTTATAGGTGTGAAAATATCATTTTTATAATAAAAATATAAAATTGTAACATAGAATGTATAATATAAAATTTATGGGACGAAAAATGTCACGTCGTCGATCGTGAGGTTACTCTCGAGTACTCGGGTACAGATGATGAGCGATCCGGTAGCGCGTCCCGTAAGCACGAAAAAATCCGGAAGTAGGGCAGACCGCGAGAGCCGCGTAGCCGGCGCGGCGCGGCGGCGTGCGGGCGCGAGCGCGCACTCGGCCACGACGTAGCATGAACGTTTGTGTCTGATTTAGATTCACACACGGTGGTCATCGAACAGCCGTCGCACTCGTGCAAACTCTGCGGTAAATCGTTTTGGAATCGGGACTCGATGTATAAACACATGAATATGCACAAGGGCACGACCCAGTGCCCGGTGTGCCACAAAGTGCTCAGCCGCACCACGCACATGAAGCGCCACCTGAAGAACCGCCACGGCTGGCTCGGCGGGATCGGGACGACCGCATCCGTCGCGGCCGCGGCCGCGGCCGCAGCCGCCGCCGGGGTGC